AAAGGTCCATCTAGCCCAGTCGCCTGTCTGCCGACAGTGGCCAGCACCAGGTGCCCCAGAGAGGGTGGACCGAAGACAATGATCAAGCAATTTGTCTCCTGCCATCCCTCTCCAGCCTCTGACAAACAGAGGCCAGGGGACACCATTTCTATCCCCTGGCTAATAGCCTTTTATGGACCTAACCTCTATGAAATTATCTAGCTTCTCTTTAAACTCTGTTATAGTCCTAGCCTTCACAGCCTCCTCTGGCTAGGAGTTCCACAAGTTGACTGCACGCTCCGGAGATTGTGAAGAGGAATTGATTAAAATGGCCAAATCCTAGTCTAACCAGAGACCACCCTGGCATCCTGCCAGGCATTTGATTTCTCCGTCCCAATCCCTCTCCAATCACCACACCTCAGTAGTGGGACGTGAACCAAATTCAAAGGCCAGAGAGAGACCTGCAGATGGCTAATTGGACACATTTGTCTCCACGTTCCTTGTTAACTGAATTTGCAGCTTAGACACAACTGGACAGCAAATCCATGAACAATGGGCCGTCTCCAGTCTGAAACCCCACGGTATTAGCTCTTCGAGCCCTGTGTTCAGATCTCTTCAAGTGTCTTTTCCCCTGGTTAGAGTCAGAGGCTGCGGTGATTTATGAGACTGCCAGAAAAGAAGTGTAAGCTCAAGAATATTCATCTCCCACCACTATAAAATAGCAATAATGAGCATGCAATTTGAGGGGCGGGGGAGAGGAGGTATCTAAGAGCCCAGTTAATAATTATACTCCAGCAAATCTTAGAATTGAATTGAATTCTAAGGCTAGAAGAGACCTCGGAGAATCATTGAGTCCAATTCCCTGCCCAAAGCAGGAGCAACCCAACTAAATCATCCCAGCTGGGGTTTCCTCAAGCTGGGACATAAAAACCTCTAGGGATGGAGATTCCACCCCCTCCCTAGGGAACCCATCCCAGTGCTCCCCCACCCTCCTATGGAAATGGATATTAGGAAAAAACTAACCTAGATCTCTTCCACCGCAACTTGAGACCATTGGCTGCTACCAAATCCCCCCTCACTCTTTGCTTCTGCAGAATAAATAAATCCAAATCCCTCAGCCTCTCCTCATAGGTCAGGTGCTCCAGCCAGCTCATCATTTTGGTTGCCCTCTGCTGGACCCTCTCCAATGCGTCCACATCCTTTCTGTAATAGGGGCCCCAAAATTGTCCTGCCCAGGCAACAAAGTTCTTTGGGAGAATGTTGGCCTTGACTATTCTAGTAGGCAGACACGCACACGCACGGTAGATTAGGACACTGTCACACCTTTGCTTCGTAGATTAATTATGGTTTCTCCATTTGCTCCCACAGCTTTACAATTCCCATAAGACTTTATCTGTAGCATGACAGGCTTCCAGATCCTGGGGTGGGAATGAGAGCACTGAAGGGGACAAGTACTGGAGGAGGATCACACTAGTGGTATCCAGACTCCTCAGTGACCGTTGGGGGAGGGTGAGAACCACAAAGCAGGGACCTGAGTCTCTAGGGTCAGGTTGTATGTATCTCAATCATAGAATACTAGAATACCTCGAGAGGTCATCAAGTCCAGTCCCCGGCCCCCATGGCAGGACCAAATACTGTCTAGACCATCCCTGATAGACATTTATCTAACCTGCTCTTAAATATATCCAGAGATGGAGATTCCACAACTTCCCTGGGCAATTTATTCCAGTATCTGACTACCCTGACAGTTAGGAACTTTTTCCTAATGTCCATCCTAAACCTCCCTTGCTGCAGTTTAAGCCCATTGCTTCTTGTTCTATCCTCAGAGGCCAAGATGAACAAGTTTTCTCCCTCCTCCTTATGACACCCTTTTAGATACCTGAGAACTGCTCTCATGTCCCCCCTCAGTCTTCTCTTTTCTAAACTAAACAAACCCAATTCTTTCAGCCTTCCCTCATAGGTTTGTGGAAGCCCAAGACTTTAAGAAGAAACCTTGGTTTCTTTCTGGTTGTTCCTGAATTGCCTAAATAAGACTTTGTGAAACAAGGTGCGGGGAGAGTTAATTGTCCCACTATTATCCTGGGACCAGACCAGCTACCCCAGCGCTAAAGAGCCCAAGTCTGCCAAGCGCTTACTGCTGCTGTCTTGTCTGATTGCCCAAGCTAAGCAGGTTTGGGCTATATCCTTTTTGGTGTGGGAGGTCTCCAGGAAACACCTAGTTGCTGCCATAAATGGTGTGCACAAATCACCATGCACGTAATCCCCTCACAAGACACTAGCAGACCCACAACAGACTAGGGGACATAAAAAGTCTTTTGAAAAGGTAACCGTGTAACTGCTATAAGTCCTCGTGGTTACACACACTATGGGCTCTGCAGTATAAGGCTATCAGACTTGCTTCTGGGGGGGCACAGCATGTAACTTGCGGAGGGGGGCTGGTCCAGCCGGCCCCCTGCTTGTGGTGGGCCCAACAGGGCTGGCCTCTCGCCCAGCATGGGTAGAGAGCTGCTCCATCCCCTACAGGTTAACTGGACCTTAATAGGGAGGCCGATCAGTTAACTGATTGACCTTTTACATGCCTGTAACAGACAACTGAAAACAAGCGCCAGAGCAAGCCATTCGCTCTTCCTTGGTTGGTGTCCCAGGGACCGTGATATAAAAAAACCCCACTCCAAAGTGATCACATGACATGCCAAGCCGTTAAAGCAAGTCTGCATCCCGCACGTCCGGGAGAACAGCAAATCGACAATCAAATCCCCACCAGCAAACACGGAAACGTCCCCCTGCCAGATCTCCATAGCGCAGGGAGACCTGCAGAACGTAGGCAGATGCTTCCCAGTTCCTCCGCTGGGACTCGCGCAAGGAGGAGCAGCCCTGCTAGCAGAGTCCCTCCCGCTGTCCAGACTCTGAGCTTATGGGAAACGCGCCTCCTCGAAAGAGCGCCTGTCGACATGCAAGGAAGGAAAAGGGAGCGTGGCTCTGACAGCAGTGAAAGAGGTGACAACTGGAATATCTGGCACCCTGCTACCACCTAGAAACAAATACGGAATGGACGTCTGGCACAAACGTTCGTTATTCCTGGCATGCCCTAGCCTGTGCCTGTCTGGACTGTGTCTTGTACGCTTGCTCGCCTCAGTGAGCTTTCTCTAAATGAGTGATTCGGTAGGTGGCAGTTTTCACTTTGGGCCGGGCCTGAGCAAATGCCCCTGACGGGGACTTGGGTAGCAGGTTTAAAACGAATAAAAGAAAGTTCTTCACACAGCGTGTAGTCAACCTGTGGAACTCCTTGCCAGAGGAGGCTGTGAAGGCTAGGACTATAACAGAGTTTAAAGAGAAGCTAGATAATTTCATGGAGGTTAGGTCCATAAAAGGCTATTAGCCAGGGGATAGAAATGGTGTCCCTGGCCTCTGTTTGTCAGAGGCTGGAGAAGGATGGCAGGAGACAAATCGCTTGATCATTGTCTTCGGTCCACCCCCTCTGGGGCACCTGGTGCTGGCCACTGTTGGCAGACAGGCTACTGGGCTAGATGGACCTTTGGTCTGACCCAGTATGGCCATTCTTATGTTCTTATGACTCATAGATGACACTGTAACCCAACTCTTTCTGATGAACTGAAACACCAGCCTGTTATGGGGGTTAATGATCCAAGTCCTTTCTGTAGGAATAAAATGCAAGCAGTGGGGCCCAGAGCCACCATGGGCCCCAGGGCAACCGCCAGAAGGCCTTGGCTGGAAGGGGTGGGGCCAGCCCTCAGTGCCACCCAGACCACAGTGCATACCCCCCAGTCCTCACAGCCATGCAGAGCAGCACTCCGGTGGCGATTCAAAGGGGCTTGGAGCTCTGTCCACTGCGGTGGCAGCAGTGACCTGGGCCCTGGGGCAACTGCCCCTTTTGCCCCCCTCCTGGTGGCAGGTAGGGTTGCCAGGTGTCCCGTATTGAACCAGACAGCCCGGTATTTGTGCCTTCTGTCCGGTAAGTAAATTGAGAAAATACCGGACATACAAAATGTCCTGTATTTTCTACTTTTCCCGGCTCGGCGCCCGACAGACGCGCAGCGGCGGAAGTAGGGGGAGTGGCAGAGGAGCGGGCCCGCCAATTAAATGGGCCGCGACTGCATTTCGTGGCCTGGCGGGTTTTTTTTTTTTTTGGTGGGGTTTTTTTTTTTTCTCAACAAAGTTCCTGGGGTTTTTCTGCTTCAACAAAAGTGTTTTTTTTTTTTTTTCTCAACCAAAATTTCCCTGGCGCTTTTTTGCCGAAACCATCTGGTAACGTTAGTGGCAGGTCTGAATGCCAGATAGTAACGCCAGTGTCCTAGCTGAATTCCAAATGGTCTGTCGTTCCCCTGGGCCAGTTTTCACTGCCGTTGCTGATGGATAACGATCTAACGGTTTTGGACTGCTTCTCACTGCCTGGATATCTGAACTAAGACCTGACGCTCCAGAGGACGGACTTTGGTCAACAGCTCCACCCCTCTGGTGCAGAGAAACTTTCTCCCATGAGGGTGAAGTGCTTCGAGAGACAGAGCTTTCTCCGGGACTAGTCTGAGACTGGAACAAACTCTCCCAGGGACTAAGGATCATCATAATCCTTATCTCCTTCCGCTCCAAGTGCAAGGTGCACCAACCTTTTCTAACACAAATAAAGTAGTTTATTGGTTATAATCTCTCTCTCCTTATCAAAACCAAACACTCCACCACTCCCATCATTCTCTACTGCCATGGGTGACAGCTGCAGTAAGCAGTGCACATAACATGTCTGGAAGGTGCTCAGATAGACAAGGGTCATGGCAGTCAAAGAATCGATATAGAAGAAAACGGTATCCTATTTCACTTCCTGCCTTAAGCCTGCTGAGCACTGTTACATGCTTTTACACAGCTGCCAAGCTGCTCCGCAGAAGTGGCTACATCCTGGTGATGAGTGACGTGATCCCCGTGAGTTTGTGTATATGAGTTTATAGTGGATAAGTCTATACTGCTAAGAACCACGTTAGGGAAGCTTATGTGGTGCGTTAGAATGATAAACGCTGTGGTTACAAGCTGTGGGCCTTTCATCCGTGCATTTTATTGCAATAGATTGCATCATTAATTTTCTCCTTCTCTCTCTTCCTCTCAAATCCAGAGAGTTTCCAGGATGCGGGAACATAGTGACGTTTGCACAGTTCTTATTCATAGCAGTGGAAGGCTTTATCTTTGAAGCCAATTTTGGAAGGAAGCGGCCGGCCATTCCAATAAGGTACGGTAGACTTAAATGCTCTGGCGGGGTTGTAATCTCTTAGAGTTTAATAACCCAGCTCATCCATTTATCCTGTCTACACCCCGTTCCTTTTCCAGAGTTAGCATCGCCTCGTTCAGAAGTTGTCACGTCTGGTAAAATATTAACAGTCCTAGATAAATGAGTTAATAGGAAATTGCTTTCAGCCTTCTCTCCTAAGGAACATGTGGTTAGCTGTTTAGTAAACGAGAGCTACTTTTAGGGGACTGGACCTCTCTGGGGTTTGGTCATTAGCGGAGCCCAGCTGGAAATCTGTGAGAAATAAGTCTCAAAATTCTTTTTCCCCTCACGTATTCTTCATTGGCAGCAGAGCGGACTACAAAACCTGTTGGCTTTTCCACTTCTAGTTCCTGTGACTTGACAGCCTGTGTGAAAAGACTCCTGTTTCCAACTGGTGCCTAGGGGACGGCTAAATACAAGTTGAACCTCTCTAATCCAGAACGCTCTGGTCTGGAAACATCCGTCATCCAGAAAGATTTTAGTTACCCAGATGTCCACTTTTCATGGGTGTGGCCAAGTTTCCTGTGGTCCCATCAAGTTTGTTTACAGCCCCCACAACTAGCTCTGTGTTCTTTGCTGTTATTTAGCTTTAATTTACCTCTTGCTGTCCTCTAACAGCCCAGTAAGTGGTGGAAATGTTGGTCATGCTGCTAGATAACATTGACCTGCCATAGTCCGGCACATTCTCTGGTTCGAAACCGGTCCGGTCCTAAGCAGCCAGACTAGAGAGGTTCAACCTGTACCAGCCATGTGGAGACTGAATTCTCCACCCAGCCTCAGAGCGGATTCCTCCAGGCATCTCTGAGTAGGTGATGGGAGTGCAGTTGCCGTAAGGGAGAGAGATCTGCACAGCCTCTGCCCTTCCTGCTCTGAGCAGAGAACGTGTGTCGCTGGGGTTCACGGACTGGCGTTGTCCGAGCATTGTAAGAGAGTATACCTGGAAGGAACATCCCAGGCGTCCGTTTTCTCCGCTGACCAGCCCCTTGTGTTTCCCTTTCAGATACTACCTGATCATGGTGGCCATGTTCTTCACAGTCAGCGTAGTGAATAACTACGCCCTGAATCTAAACATAGCCATGCCACTGCACATGATATTCCGATCCGTGAGTACTTCTGCCGGCCTTTCTTTCCATGCATGCATGCTGAGTTCTCTGCCCCGCGTCCAGTGGGAGCGGAACCCATGTGGCTTAGTCTCGCTGCAGGCCTGGCGGAGGAGGAGAACTTTGCGTTGACCTGTCATCCTTTGTAGAGACACTACGATGCACAAAGACAGCAGAGTTATTCATGGAAAAAGGATTAGGGATGTAATAGTGTAGTCCAGTGCTTCCCAATTTTATTTGGCCATGGAACCCTTTTCAGCTTAAAAGAATGAACCCCTGTGGTTGCCAGGGTAAAATTTGTCACCAAAAAAAAAAAAAAAAAGACTCTGTCTCTTTAAGAAGGGACGGGGGAGTGCCACGTTATTGAGGAACAATTTCTTTCGCTTCACGGAACCCTGGGGTTCTGCGGAGCACCAATTGGGAAACACTCCTGTAGTCGATTAACCAATCAGCAAAAGCTTATAGATTAATGCTGTAGACTGCACGCATTCGCTCCTCCTCCAGTACGTTTTTTTAGCAGGCAACAGGCAGCCGGTCCGCGAGGGGAGCTGTTTTTTAAACTGTCTCCCCTTGCGGACCAGCTCCCGTCTGGTACAGAGGCAGTGCGGAATGGCAGGGGGCTTCTCGGGAGTGGGGCTGGAGCACACTGGCTGCTGGCCCAGCTCTGGAAGTGTGCGGTTAATCGACTATTCGATTAACCGATATTTAACATCCTTAGAAAGGATGGCCTTGTAGTTAAAGCATGAGGGCAGGGCTTAATATGGGTTCAGTTCCCAGCTCCGCAGAAGACTTTGGAGAGCTTGGGCTGTTTTCTTATTGCCTGTGCCTCATTTTCCCCATCTGTCAAATGGAGATCATGTGATCCCCTAACAGGTGATCTGAGAGCCAGCTAATTTTTTGGAGGCATTTGCGTTTTTCAGGGAGGCCCATTGTAACACACACACTTGGCTCTCAGGGCTGGGTATGTCTGTTTGTCCGCTCCTTATCCCAAGGAGCATCAGGGCCTGGAGAAGCTTCCTTCTTACATGTGGGGAAACTGAGGCACAGAGATGGTGAATAACTCACCCAGGGAGTTGGCGTTAAAGCTGGTATCCAGACTCTGGAGATCCTGAGTCCCCCTCCTGCTCTCAGACTGCAAAATCAACTTGCGTCTGCTGCCTGCCAAACCCTTGCACTTCACGAGTATTGGGATCGGTTCTTCTCTGCTTGGCATGGTAAGGGATGGATTTGCAAAGACTGCCCACGCCGAATGCAGTCAGGGAGCAGGGTGCATGAGTTTGCATGTGCCAACGCTCGGTAGCTATTAGTTCTACTGGGCACGTCAGTAGCGTGTCTGAACAGGGACGTCAAATTCCGCCTGCCCTTTGCACCTCCAGTTCCCTACAACTTGCAGATTCACTGGTGTGTTTGTAAGGGGCTGCAAAGGCACGGTAGGGAACTGTGCCAAAATAAAACTACTGGCACAGAGAGGAGTATGAACCCAGCGAGTCATGAAATGTACTAACAGACTCATTTTGGGGAGGAAGATGTTGCCTGATCTAGGAATTCTGAATACTGAGTCCCCCTTCAGGAAGACTAAACCCATCTCCCCTCCTTCTTTCTGCACCTCCATGCTGTATTAAAGGCTCACATAGCATGCATGGGTGTGCACAGACTGCTTAGTCCTTCATGTCCCCCCTACAGGGATCGCTTCGTGTTTTAGAAAACACTGTCCCATCCATCTTTCACACATTCTGATGACTGCAAAACAAGTGCCACGGTAAACTTACATCAAAGCAAAAAGGAAATCTATGCTCGAGTGTCAGGGTACTAGGGATTTGGACTAGGGATGCAAATGAAGACAACCGAAGTAGTTAGTGAAGCGGGGATTTAAATATCCCGCGCTTCTTTAACATGATATCACTGACACGAGATCAAAAAATGAGGAGTAATGTTAGTTCGGACTAAGGGCTTTAGTCCGAACTAACGCGTCCCGGCGCGCACTTCCTGGTTCGAATCAGCTGTGATTCGAACTAGCGCGCCGGCGAGATCATGTTAATGAAGCGCGGGATATTTAAATCCCTGCTTCATTAACTACTTTGGTCATCTCCATTTGCATCCCTAGACCGAACTAGGGATGCAGTGTAGATTTACCCTCAGATATCAAGTACTAAGCTGTAGAGCAGGACAGGGATTTGGCCCACCTTACACTTTGATCTGGTCTGCGGACTGCATCTGACCGCTTTCTATTTACATCCCGTTGCCTGTGCCATTGAATTTCCAGGCCCCGCCCCTTCCTCCCCAGGCCCCTCCCCCTTCCAGGGGGTGTAGCCCACCTGTGACAGTATACCAAAATTCATTAAGTGGCCCCCCTGCAAAAATTATTGCCCACCCCTGCAGTAGAGTAACCTTCCGTGAGAAGCAATAGATCTGCCCAGTGGCTTGGTGGATCTTAAAATTGGGCAGATTGTCTGAATCAGTCTGGCATAGAACTGGATAACCTCCATGTCCTCTCACCTGAACATTATCCTTCCTGAGCCATCCCAAAGTAGGGGACTTTCTCATGCCGTTGATGCCAGAAATGCACGTTCTCTTCCCGATCTTCCCCTGGTAACTGTTTTAGCCTAAATATGCGGACTCATAAACTTTAAGGTCAGAAGGGACTGTTATGATCATCTAGTCTGACCCCCCTGCACAGTGCAGGCCACAGAATCTCACCCACCCCCTCCTGTAATAATCTTCTCACCTATATCTCAGATATTGAAGTCCTCAAATGATGGTTTAAAGACCCCAAGATGCAGAGAATCCTCCAGCAAGTGAGCCGTGCCCCATGCTACAGAGGAAGGCCAAAAACCTCCAGGGCCTCTGCCAATCTACCCTGGAGGAAAATTCCTTCCCGACCCCAAATAGAGAGAGCTAAAGATGTCCCTGCAAGCCCTGTTACTTCTTGGTTTTCTTCTCTGGGTCTAAAGAGAATCAGTCCCTCTCTGGTTTCAGTCTCTCTCCATCCTGTTATGGCTATGAGTGGCCTGTACTTAGCTGTTCAGAGCACACGGGTTTTCTTGTTGAGTGTGTTTCTATTTCTGGGCGGGTGCCTGCCACACTGACCTTGTTTTGCTTTTCTCTCTCCCCCTCCCCAGGGCTCTCTAATAGCCAGCATGGTTCTAGGTATCATCATTTTGAAAAAAAGGTAAATTCTGGCACCCTGATTCATCAGCATAATGACTGAGTCTGGTAAACCTCGTACAGAGTCCAGCAACAGTTGGCTCACGTGCAAAACTTTTTATCTGCAAAGTGCTTTAGGCCTGATCTACCATCCCCCCTCCCCAGAGTAAATGCCCTCCTCTCATAGATGGGGAAACCGAGTCATTGGAGTTAAGTGACATGCCAGATGCCAGGAAGAGAGTCAGTGTCACAGCTGGGATTGGGGTTCCAGCTCAGGCAAACCGAGGCTGACTAGGGAGCATTTTAGGGTCATAGCCTTGCATTTCTGCGCCACCCTCCTTCCGAGGAGCTCAGTCTGCGGTGAGCATCAGGCGACGAAGCCCTAAATCGCCCCTTATTGGCAGGGAGGTAGTGAAGGAGAGTTGGCCC